CCATATTGCGTCCATGATTGCCCGGAGGCCGAAGTCGAGCTAGACATCACTCGCCGGCGGCGCGCTTCGTTGCCGGAGCAGAGGAAGAAGAAGGTGGGAAAGGAAAAGGGCAGGGCAAGCAATGGAGGGCGGGGGGGGGTGGGGTGGGCTGGCTCGGGCTCGTGGCTGGCTCGGGTCGGGGCACGCTGATGAGCACGGGCATGCTTGCGTGGATAAGTTGTGGGTCCCACCCGCATGCGAGTAACTGCTAGGTCCCGCGTGTCATAACTCGAATCGCTAACCCCTCGTGTTTTTCATTTCATGGATAAACAGAGCCATGTCGCATTGGACCTATTGTTTGCTTCTAAAATGTCGCATCGCAGCCATTCATTCCAACAACGTCGCACTCCTTCTAATTCGCATGAAAAACATCGCACAGGAGCTATTGGCCCAAATAAATTATCCACATCGATCGGCCTCTTCTCCAGACTCCAATCTGGGCTGCAATCATGGAGCCACCGTCGTTCAAAATCCGCGGAGATGATGATCCCGGACCACCTCCTGGGCAGGACCAAAAGCTCGTAGCTCGCGAGCTTAATGATCGCTCGATAGTTCGGCTCATTAAACTCGTAACTCGCTTCTTAATAAAGAGCCAATCATTGATTTTAGCTCGGTAAGCTTAACGAGCTTAACAAACGAGCTAACGAGTTTAACGAGTAGCTTGTTAAGCTCGTTAGTAACAAAACAGCACATATTTTCATCTTACGTGACAAAAAAAATTTAGCACCTCTGTTAGGACCGAGAGTATATCGACCAGAAGGGGGGGGGGTGAATGGGAGATTCAAAAATTCTTGTGAATATTTTGAACTGAACCCAAGCAAAACTGCGAAATTAAAGATCGGTAGATCAGAAAACCCAACAAGCTAGCTACTGAGGAACAAAGCCTTCAAGGTAAGATGCAATAATAATTCGAGCGTAGGCAACAACAGGCTTAACAATGATAACTGTAATACAGGATGCCAAAAGAACTAAGATCATGACAACGAACATAAGCAGAGTTGTGAAGGAAAATTACAACGAATAATAACTCAGCCTACAAATGACACATAACTCTACGTGAGATATGATGAAGGATATGTAGCAGAGGGTATCAGATCAGATAATAGTCATCACGGAGCACACATAATAACTGCGGAAAGAATTACAGTGAAGAAGAATAGAACCAGTGGTGCTCCATGACGACAAAGAGATTTGGTAGACCAGTTCACCCTTTCAGCAAAGGGTTACATCTCGTTGGAGGGGCTGTGACTTAACACGGAAGATAAACTCTCTTCACCCTTTTCTCCTTCAACGTAGAGCTGATCAGACTCAGGTTGATTTCACTCGTGATAGATCCTTGTCGGCGATCTCCAAACCTTCGGTCGACCTTCACGAACCACAATCACTCTTGGTTGCTAATAATCTGGCTCAGTGAAGACAAAAACTCTTCAACACTAGAAGCCGAAACCTGTCCGTCTAGAGAGTGCACAGCTCTCAAGAGTAATAGGTACAAGAACTCTCACTCAGAACTACTGTGATGCTAAACCACTGTCTAAGTTTGGGCTCATGGTTTTACTCTCGGTGATCGACCACGACTTATTCTGTTATAGGAGCTCATCAAGAATCCTCCTCTACGTTACCAGGAGGGTTTCGCTTGCGGCTGCGGCAATCTATGGAATTGCGATCGGGTCGTCGCCTCGGCTCTCTGCCGCCGCGCAAGCGCAACAAGTCGCTCAATCGGCGTTCCAACATCGGTGAGGATGAGGACATGATCAGCACTCTTGCCGACCACCTCCTCCTCGGAATCCTCCAACGCCTCCACCTAGAGCTCACGTCGACCAGTTCCACGGTGCCACGCCGATCAAGATCATGGACGCGTTCACCGACGCGGCACGGAGGTTGCTGTCCATCTATCCGCCTCCGTGCTCCGTGTGCAGTCGTGCTATCAAGACCCTCGCCCTCAGCTTCTACATGTCGGACCCTCCCCAACTGAGCTCCATCGGCCGCGTCGTCGAGGACGTCGTTAGCCGCGGCGAGACCGAATACCTCGAGTTTGATATATTCTCGCCGCCCTCGAGCGACACCACTCTGCTGCTCGCCGAGTTGGGGCAGCGGTTCATCTCCTTCTCCCATGCCTGCCTCGTCGCCTTCCGGTGGCTCACCGTGCTAACCCTCGAGAAGCTAGCGTTTGGAGACGCCGAGTACCTCACCCTGATATCCTGCAGACTAGTTGATCATCACTCCGCACTCAAGATTGACACGCCATGCTCCGGGCTCCAGGAGCTTTGGTTCGTTGGCTTTGCCTGCAAACGTATCGAGCTCATCCCTGTCCCCCAGCTAAGAAAAGTGTGGTGCTGGTCTTGGCCCTGCCAGAGCCCTCCGGTGCACTTCGGCCATGTTCCCCAACTTCGTGAGGTGAGCCTTGGTTCACGTGCTGGGGTGTGGCAGCCGCCATTTGCGCTGAGCGAGTGCTTGTTGAGTGCCACGAATCTGTCGAGATTGTATCTCAATTTTGGTTGTGAAATGGTATGTTTATTTCTCCACTCCACATGAATTCCTCTTTGCATCTACATATCATATTTCTTCTTACCTACTAATTTTAGTTGTTTGTTGTGTTCTTCATCTTGCTGCAGATTTGGATTCAACCTGAACATCCCAAGCACCTCACTACAATATTCAGAAACCTGACTGATGTGTATCTTAACTGTATCTTTCCCGAGTGTGATCTGAACTGGACCATGTTTATCGTCCAAGCTGCACCTGCCCTACTGAATTTTACAGTAAGCTTCACCTTGAACTTAAATAATGGTATTGTTGGTTTCATTTTTTTATAAATTGCAAAGGAGATACGTAACTGCAATATGTGTTTATCTTCTGTGTGCATGCATGAAGTTGTATCGAAATCAACATCCATGTGTCAAAACGTCTGAGCATAGTGCCCAGAAGACCAACATGCTGCCGGAACCATCCAAGGATTGGAAGCACCTGAACTTGAAGTTACTCGTGATGGCAGGGTTCGAGGAGGAAGACAAGGTGACAAATTATCTAAGACTTTTCATGGAACGAGCCGTGGGTTTGAAGAGAATCGAGCTGCGTGGTAAACACCCCTGTGATAAGTGCAATGCCACGGACCTTGAACTTGAGTCCACAAGATCCCTTGTTGACAAAGCTAGCAGGTATCGGATTAAGGAGCGACTCACACATGAATCCTCCTTGTCTGTCAAAATAACAATATGTTGATTGTCAACGAATTATAAAAACTCTTAAAATAAGTGCTCATGGCTGGTACGAGAGCGATGATTGCGCCTAGTCAGTTGTAATTTTCTGTTAGTTTTTGGTCGGCCGTATGCCTTTTCTCTAAAATATAAAAAAATTTGGTTAGTTCTGGTTATTGGTGGCGAGAAAAACTTTATGGGCAATATATTTAAGCACTGGTTTAAAATGGCTACTGTATTGGATCTACGCACCTATTTTCAGAATTTTACTTGAAACCTTAAATAGAAAATGATAACAAGTGAAATCAATAGAAGAAACAACAAATAATAGAAAAAACAGCGACATTATTCTGTATTTGCAATAGCTTTGGCACTCTGAAAGAGGACACCAATATCAAAAGCATCCAGGACAAGAGCATGAACTTCAGTTGGCAAAATAGACAGATTGACGAAGGAACACCTACGTGATAGGCCCATGGCTACATATGGCCTAGCTGAAGGCCCAGACCCATAAAGATTATAGCCCAAGAGAGCAGCGAACAAGGGGACTTCCACAAGTGTCCATAGTCGGATTCTGAGCTAATATTAAGCGCTCGTTAATGTGTATTTTACGAACGACTGAGTGAAGCGCCCCATGTAGTTTTGTCCGTGTCTTAATCCGCAAAAATTGAGCGTGCTTCGAACCAACGACCCCCCTCTTTGATATACACAGGTGTAACCACCTCACCAACCAGTAGGATCAGGTAAACAAGGACCTACCGCCCAAGACACCAGCAAACAAGGGGTCTTCCACAAGTGTCCATAGTCGGATTCTGGGTGAATCCTATTTTTGCCGCCCGTTAATGTGTATTTTACAAACGACCGCCTGAAGCTCCCTGCACTAGGCCGGCCCATGTAGTTTTTCCCCGTGTTTTTAATCCGCAAAAAATGAGTGTGCTGGTCGATGGCCTTCCCCTTCGATATACACTGGTGTAACCACCTCACCAACCAGCCGGATCTGGTAAACTAGAACCTATCATTTATTTTATTCTTTCTTGTTTCCTTTTTTTCATTTCTTTTATTCTAAAATGAGCGTGCTAGTTGATGGCCTCCTCTTCGATAGCCAGATCTAGGTCTTTTGAGCTACTACCCCGGGATAGAGGTACATCAAAAGACGGAGGGGATTGCACTATGCCATGAGACATACACAAGGAAGGTATTTGAAAGCCGTGACATGAAAGATTGCAATCCAGTTCACGCTTCAATGGAACCTCATCTTGAGCTGAGCAAGAAGAGTAAAGTACTTGCAGTTGATGCAATAGAGTATATTGCAGCGGCCGTTGCGGCGCGTCAAGGTGTGTGGCTAGCAGGGCTATACGATGATCTCAGGATCAATATCCGGAACAAGTGGTACTCATTGTTGATAGCAAGTTTGAAAGTTTTCTATGCAAGGATCCAGTGCGGCATCGGAGCAAGCACACTGATACGTTGTGTCACTACATAAAGGACCGCGTGGAAGAAGGTAAGATGAAGGTCAACTACATTTGCACCGATGATCAGCTAGCAGATATCCTAACCAGGTCTTTTAGAAGAGAGAAGTTCTTGAAGATGCGAAGAAGGACCGGCGTTGAAGTTGTAACGTGATGGCATCGTGATTAGGGGGGTGATTGTAGGAGTTAATCACGACCGTGATTCCTGGCCGGCTCGGATCAGGACTCCATCACCGTATAAGTTTATGTATAGGCTAGGTTAACTCCAACACAGCAAAAGCAACACGATTCTCTTTCTCCCCACAGCTCGTTCCATGACTAGACTTATATAGTTTGTCACCTTGTCTTCCTTCCCAGACCCTTGAATTGCGAGCCTCTTCAAGTTGAAGTGCTTGGGTGATCGTTGGAGTTAATCATGACCGTGATTCCTGTCCGGCTCGGATCAGGAGTCCATCACCGTATAAGTTTATTTATAGGCTAGGTTAACTCCAACACAACAAGCAACACGATTCTCTTTCACCCCACAGCTCGTTCCATGACTAGACTTATATAGTTTGTCACCTTGTCTTCCTTCCCTGACCCATGAATTGCGAGCCTCTTCAAGTTGAAGTTCTTCAAGTTGAAGTGCTTGAAATCCTTGGATGATCCCCATACCACCGTTGGTCTTATCGGCATTCTCCCTGGGCGTTTTGGCACATAGTCAACACGAGATAACTTCATGCAAAGACAGAGAAAATAAATAAGGCAGCACAACATAATAACAATTAATATAAAATATATCCTCCAAATAAAATCTTGCAAAACGCTCGATAGTAGCTAGTCTCTAAGTTTAGGTACTTATAGAGTTTTTGGACAAACTTGCATGAACTAAATCCTAGGCAAAGTAAGACATGCCAATATGCTTTGGATAACTCTAACACAAGGTATGATCCAACATGATCTTTCTTCTTCTTGCATGGACACTGTCCCTCTGCAAAGTTTAAATGGAGCAACAAAACTTCTGTTTGCATTGCACTATCATTCATATACAAATACAATACAATCCATGTGTTTCATACGTCCCAATTGCAATGCAGCCTGCTTCTAAAATTGGCAATACATTAGAGTTGGGGAGTGATCAAAAAGCAGATTAACTTGCAGGTATGTTGCTAATGTTGAATATCCGAAAACCTGTCATATTAGACAGATTCATATCCAGGCTAAGATGTGGGTTAAATTTTTAAAAAAAAGTATTGAGTAACAGACTTACTGTAAATTTCTGCAGAGTAGATGCCGCTTCAAGGATAAATAATGTCCAACTCAATCACAATCAGGGAAGATTAAAAAAAAAGATACACATCGACCAGGTTTCTGAATAAAGCAGTGAGCTGCTTCAGATGTTCTGGTTGAATCCAAATCTGTATGAGAACACAAATACACAGCTGAAATTGGAAGAGAAGTACATATGATATGTGTGCAGAGGAAATTTATATGGTGCATAGAAAATGTTCATAGCTTGCAAGGTCCGTGAGGGATTTATGTGCAGAAAATGTGTGAACTAATTTTGTTGCTAGAGATTAGAAGATCATTTGAGCAAAGCAACTCAAAGCTATATTTATATGAACTGTTTCAAAAGTCTTACCAATATATTATCTTTGAGTTATTTCAGAAATCTCTGGTATATTGATGTCGGCATCAAGATCAACTACCACGAAATCGTTCAAAGAAAGGCTTATTCTTGTTATTTGGAAGGCGCAGATATTCATTTCAGTGGGCACATCTGTAAACCTGAAGGCCCGGCTGAACCTGCCTGCACCGTTCATTGGTATTGTTGCTGGGAACAACCACTTGAGTCATGCATACTGATGGTGTAGGATCAGCCGAGGAGTACAGTAGAATGATCAGAAACATTGGCTGCAGCCGAGGAATTTGCAGACTGATGATATACAAAAGAATGGGCAATGCTACCTTTGAGCAAACACTTTCTGAGGGTGGCTATTGTAAACGCTAAAACATATATACTGTTTGCTGGGTTGGGTTGTCCTCTGGATATTAATTTATCCCCATTGGCAAGATTATATTCTTGCTGGAAAAATTTCAGATTTCCTTTATTTGAATACTGGTTGATATAAAGTACACAACTTTAAAGGCTTGCCAGAGTCAGTCACATCCAGGCACAAATTAGCGAGTATTTGACAAAAAACTACCACATTTCACGTATCCGTCCCACAGAATTACTACATTTTGAAAACTGACCAAAAACTCCAGATTAGTGCTGATTTCGTGACCAAAAACTACCAAGTTCACTTGATGACAGATTTAACCAGTTTAACTGCCTTTCTGACAGGGCTGGCCCACTGGTCAGGACGGCGGCCGCTAATGGCGCTCGCCTGCCGCCCGTTAGCCAGGCGCGTCGGTCAGACCCTGTCGCGGGAGGAGATCGAGATGAGGGATCTAGAAGCGCCCTCGCTGGTGAGGCTGCCGGAGCGCGTGGTGCTGGAGATCCTCGCGCGCGTGCCCGGCGTCGCCGACCTCTTCCGCTGCGCGGCCGCGCGCAAGCGCTGGCGCGACCTCGTCACCGAGCCGTCCTTCCTGACGCCGCTGGCCGGAGGGCGCGTGCCACTTCTGCTCCCTCGTCGGCTTCCTCGGACGGGAGCGGCGCCGCGGCGGGGAAGGGCTGCCGGGCTCCAGCTTCATCCGCGCGCCGGGGTCGGTGCTCGGCCCCGGCCGCCCCCTGCTCGGCTCCTTCATCCCTGGCGCCGCCGGCCTCCTCGACGACCGCGTCATGCCTCTCGCCTCGCACCGCGGCGTGCTCCTCGTGCGCTTCGGCGCCGGCGCCGAGACGGAGGCGGAGCCAGAGCCCGGCGTCGACCGCCTTGCCGTGTGCAACCTGCTCTCGGGCGCGTGCCACGTACTCCCCCCGCTGCGCTGCGACTGGTTCTTCGACTACTTTGGCATGAGCGCCCACGCCGTCCTCATTGGCGCAGACTGTTGCCCCGACGACGGCCAGCAGCAACCGCTAGACCCGGCCTCCTTCAAGGTGCCGGTCATCGGCGTCAGCGACGACCGGCGGTACTACGTTCTCCTCCGGTGAGCCAGGCTGGAGCGCGCCCAGCGAGTGCTTCGACCCGGTAGAGCGCAGCATCCTCGGGCCGTTCAAGCGGCGCAGCGCACGGGGTCCTCTGGGACCTGGTGAAGTTCCACGTCCTCGACGTGAACGTCGCCACTCGCCACGCCTCCTTGCAGGAGCTACAGACCCCACCGCCGGCAGGCGACCTCCCCCTGTATGAGTCGCCGCATCTGAGCGTCGCGCCAAACAAGGCGGCGACGCTGTCGTCGCTTTTCCTGTCGAGCCAAGTTAGTCTTGGTCCGACGGGATCGAACCCTCGCGTGTGGCTAACGGGCAGCAGGCGAGTGCCGTTAGCCGTTAGCGCGTCCGCTCTCCTGACCAGTGGGCCAGCCCTGTCAAATTCGCTTTTAAAATGGTTAAATCTGTCATCAAGTGAATTTGGTAGTTTTTTGTCACGAAATCAGCACTAATCTGGAGTTTTTTATCAGTTTTCAAAATGTGCTAGTTCTGTGGGACTGATACGTGAAATGTGGTAGTCTTTTGTCAAATACTCCAAATTAGCATAGGAAAAAAGGTGCACAAATATTTTTTCTACACCATCGGCACGATAAACCTCGCATCCATTGCTTCCGTCACATGTTCATATTGACTAGAAAAAAAATTCCCGAATACGCAAGTTGCGTATCATTCCATTGATAGGTTGGGGGGAGTACAAGTGTGAGCGTCATAGGCCTCGTACACATGAGATGGCGGGCCTAGGCGCTTGGTGAGCAGCGAGGGAGGGAGGATGCTACGCCTCAAAGATTACATCGCTAAGTTACAGAAACGATCCTATCGAGCCCTTTGGCGCCGGCTCTTGCCGAGAGTGTCGCGTCCTGTTTGATGTCCTCGACGAGTTTGTTGGAGGAGGGTGCAGCATTGTCGAAGAGGGCTGCGTTGCGATGCTTCCAAAGTGCCCAAGAGGTGAGGATGATGATGGACTTCATCCCTTTGCGGAGGCAGGCTGGCGCGCTGGCCGTCGTTGCCATCCACCAGTCGAAGAAGCCGGAAGCGCCATCAGGGGGAAGGGCTGGAATGCGGCACCACGCCATGATGTTGTGCCAGACGATGCGCGAGAAGACGCAGCCGACGAGAAGGTGGTGCAGTGTCTCGTTTTCTTGGCTGCACAACATGCAAATGGGGTCATGGGGAAGGTTGTGGCGCGCTCTCCGGTCGGCGGTCCAGCATCTGTTGAGAGAGGCGAGCCATAGGAAGATTTTCGCATTGGAAGGAGCCCTAGTCTTCCAGATGGGGCGCCAAAATGGTGCGGTGGTGGCGCCAATGAACAGCGCGTGATAGGCCGAACGTGCGGAGTAGCTCCCATAGGCCGTCCATTTCCAGGAGAGCTTGTCGGGCTCGCTGGAGAGTTGGATAGTTTGGAGCAGCCTCCATAGCTCGACATATTCGATGACCGCGCGGGGGTGTAAGGTGCCGTGGATGTCGGTGATCCAGCCTCTGTTGTTGAGAGCATCGCTTATAAGGCGTTGGCTTCGGCGACGCCTCGGGATGAGGGCAAAGAGGGCAGGAGCAATCTCGGGGATGGAGCGCCCATTGAGCCAGTGGTCCTGCCAGAACTTGCAGGTGTTGCCGTTCTGCCGATGATCCAGGTCGTGGAAGCACGAAGAGCATAGAGGCCTTGTGATCGGTCGGGAGGTGGAGATGCTTCCAGGAGCGGTCGGGGTCGGTTCGCTGCAGCCAGAGCCACCTGGTGCGGAGGGCAACGTCGGTACGATGCAGATTGCGAATCCCCAGTCCACCAAGCGCGAGGGGGCGGCATACCTTCTGCCAAGAGACGATGCAGCAGCCAGCATGGGCATCCTTGTTGCCGTGCCAGAGAAAATCTCGAATGAGTCTGTTAACCTTCCTGAGGATCTTCGGGTGGAGCGCTAGCGCTAACAGGATATGCACCGGCATGGCGGTGAGGACATGTCTAACAAGAGCAAGTCGCTGGCCTCGGGACGGCAGGGAGGCTTTCCAGGTGGCGAGCCTCGTGGTAAGCTTGTCGACGAGTGGAAGGAGGGCGGATGCCGGCACTTTGCGAGTTGAGAGCGGTAGCCCTAGGTATTTGATGGGAAATTCCGCCAGCGGGCAGGAGAGGGAGGTGCCAATGGTGGCGCGGTGGTTGTCGCCACATCTGATTGGTGAAGCGGAACACTTGAGGAAGTTGGTTCGAAGACACGAGGCGTTGCCAAAAGTATCAAGCAGCATTCTGATGGCGGAGAGCTCCTGAGCGTCGGGGTGGCAGAAGATGACCACGTCGTCGGCGAACATGGATATGCTGGACGCGGCGTGGCGCGTGGTCAGTCGCTGGAGGATTCCCTGGTTTGTGGCATGCTCGAGGAGCGCGTTGAGCTTGTCAATCACCAGGGTGAACAGCATGGGGGACACCGGGTCACCCTGGCGTAGCCCTTGGGCATGAGCGATCGGCGGCCCGGGGGAGCCATTGAGGAGAACACGAGTCAAAGCAGTGGAGAGGAGGATCGAAATCCACTCACACCAACGCATGCCAAACCCCAAGTGTCGTAGCATCTCGAGGAGGAATGGCCACGCCACCGTATCGAATGCCTTGGCGATGTCCAATTTAAGAAGAACACGCGGCGCCTTGAGGTTGTGGAGAAGCCGGGCCGTTTGTTGGACGAGAAGGAAGTTATCATGTGCGCTCCTCCCGGCGATGAACGCACTTTGGTTCATGGACACCATCTCCCGGAGACGCGGCGCAAGCCGGAGGGAGAGTACTTTGGCGAAGAGCTTGGCAATGAGGTGTATAAGACTGATCGGGCGGTAATGCGCGAGGGTCGATGCATCTTGTCTCTTGGGCAGTAGGATGAGAAGCGCCTCGTTGAGTTTGCGAAATCCCATGCCGTTCATAGTGTAGAGTTTGTCGAATGCGACACAAATGTCGTCTTTGACGATGGCCCAACATGAGTGTAGGAATTCCGCTGTGAAGCCGTCCGGTCCCGGCGCCTTGCCAAGCGGCAGGGCCTTGATTGCATTCCATATCTCGTCCTCGGAGAAAGGTTCGTCGAGCGGTAGCAGGTCGAAGCGGCGTTGATCGAACAGGCGCAGGTTGAGCGCGTGGTCACGCGTGGACTGGGAACCAATGATGGCGGTAAAAGTGGTCGAATGCAGCCTGTGCCATGCCAGGAAGATCGCTGACAAAGTGGCCGTCCTGCTGCAACCCCGTCATGTGGATCTTTTGGCGTCTATAGGCGGTGTGGATTTTGAGGAATGCCGTATTGGTGTCTCCCTCCTTAAGCCAGGAGAAGCGAGCCCGCTCCCGAGCAATGGAGCGGTCAAGAGAGGCCAGACCCAAGTACTTGCGTTTGAGTTCTCGCCAGAGCCAGGTTTCACTTGCAGAAAGAATGCGCTTGTCTTGAGCCAGGTCGAGGCGGTATATGAGTTCGCGGGAAACCAGGAGCTGCGTAGAGATGTCTCCGAGCGATCGCGAGCTCCAGCTCCTGAGCGCGCGCGCCGTAGCCTTTAGGCGTGCGTAGATTCGCCGGAATGGGTCCGGGTCGGGCTCCTCAGAGTGCCAAGCTGTAGCAACGGTACGGTGGAAGCCCTCGAGCTTGGTCCAAAATCGCTCGAAGTGGAAGCGCGTCCGGCCTCGCTCGCGGGGAGAGCAGTCAAGAACGAGTGGACAGTGGTCGGAGGCCGCCGAAGCGAGGCAATGGAGCATGTGGTTGGGGTTGTTGATCTCCCACGATGGTGTGCAAAGAACACGATCGTTGCGCACGAGCGTGGGGTTGTCTTGCTCGTTGGTCCAAGTGAATCTTCGGCCATGGAGGTAGATGTCACGCAAGGCCAAGTCGGCAATGAGGCGCCTGAATTGGTTCATCGTACGGTGGTTGACCCGGCCGTTGCTCTTGTCAGCTATGGAGGTCACCATGTTGAAGTCGCCACCTAAGATCCAAGGTCCGGCAATAGAATCCCGCAAGTCGCGAAGCTCAGAGAGGAACGCAAGTTTGTCAATGGCACTTTGCGGCCCGTAAACGCCGGTGATACACCAGGTGTCGCCCCCCGAAAGGGAAGAGACCGTTGCAGAGACGTGGTAGGTCCCAATGGTCGGGTTGGCCACAGCGATCGCGTCGCTACGCCAAGCGAGAAGAATGCCACTGTGTGTGCCCACCGCGGGGAGGAAGTAAAAGTCGGCGAAGCTGGCACCAAGCGTCTCGAAAATCAGAGTGGGCGTCACTAGGGACAATTTAGTCTCTTGAAGGCATACCACGAGGGGGGAAGTAGAGGCATTAACGGTGAGGACAGCGGTGCGCTTGGCTTTGTTGTTAAGACCAAGCACATTCCAGAACACAACTTTGATGTGATTATCCATAAGAGTTGGGGGGGGGGGCGCAAGATGGACTAGGAAATGCCTAGTCATGCCTCGGTGAGAAGGGCCTGGCCACGCACGGGGCTCGCAATGAGCTCCCGCGGCACGCGCCATCCAAAAAAGTCCGCAAAAGCAAGGACAACATCCGTGGCCAGCGGTCGCTCGAATAGCCGTGAGTATCTAGCGAGAAGGTCCAGGTACACAAAACCACGATAATTATTATGGATCGGAGGGACTAGCAAACATTACCAGAGACCCGAGCCTACTACACACAAAGCCAGGTAAACAGATCAACATATAGTAGGTAGGCAATTTCTTGGTAAACTGAAAGAGAAAAGCAGGCATCCAGATTGCAGTGCACACATAATGTAGCTAGAACCCTGATATACACATGACAGTACACAGATAATTTCTGAACGATGCTGAAGATTGCACCATCTGATGCACGCAGCTACACTACTCCACCGTTTGGTATAAGTGTTGGCTGCATGTCGGGTGTGTACTGTCCTCTGCACAGCAATTTCGATGTAGGATGTAGCTGCTACACTGCAAGGTCCGCACGAATCAAGCATTCTCAGGCAATTAATAACCACAAATTATCTCCAGATTCAGAGTTCCTTTCTTGGAATACCGGTCGATATTCAGTGATGGCATTTCAGAGTGCAGATTATTATCTCCACAGATGAGCAGGATCCATGGGCGAGTTGCACCTTAACGCGATGCCTCCTAGCTTTATCCACCGTGCATTTTCTTTTACAGTCGTTGCAGTCCTTGGATGGGAGTTCACCAAGCATGCATTTTCTTTTACAGTCGTTGCAGTCCTGGCATGGGAGTTCACCAAGCAGCACAATTCTTTTCAACCCCACAGCTCGCTCCATGACTAGCCTTATATAGCTTGTCACCTTGTCTTCCTCCTCGAACCCTTGAAATGCCAGCTTCTTCAAGTTCAAGTGCTTGAAATCCTTGGATGGTTCCCACACCAAGTTGGTCTTCTCGGCACTGTCCACGGCCGTTTTGGCACATAGTTGAGCTCGAGATAACTTCATGCGCGGGCAAAGAAAATAAACAAGGCATGTTAAGAAAAGTGACACCAGGCCATGTAGGACAATGCAGTAACATTTGATATTAAAATATCTGCCATTTGAAAATTTACAACATATCTCGGAGTAGTATTTAAGTTTGGACGTACTTGCATGAACTAAATTATGGAGACATGCGAATATGCTTCGGATAACTCTAAACGAGGTACGATTCAACATGATTTTTTTTTCGTCTTCTATGGACATGGTCCTTCTGCAAAGTTCAAAACCAGAGCTACAGAACTTCCGTTTGGATTGCCCTGTCATTCATAGTATCATTCATATACAATACAATCAATGCGTTCCCTATGTCCCAATTTCATTGCAGCCTGTATGCACTGCTTCAAAATTTTGTGATACATTAGAGTTTGCGAGTGATAAAAAATTAGATTAACTTGCAGGTATGTTGTTAATGCTGAATATTCGAAAACGTGCCATATCAAGGCTAAGGTGTGGATTAAATTAAAAAGGTAGAGTAGCAAACTTACTGTAAACTTCTGCAGGGCAGGTGCAGCTTCAAGGATAAATAGGGTCCAGCTCAGATCACACTCAGGGAAGATGCCAGAAAGGGACACATCGGCTAGATTTCTGAATATAGCCGTGAGCTGCTTCGGATGTTCCGGATTAATCCATATCTGCACCAAGAAGAGGAACACAAATAGTCTGCATAAATTAGTAAAGAAGAACATACGATATGTGTCCACAAGAAAATTATATGGTGCAGAATAATTAGCTTTACCATTTGGTGGCAAAAATTGAGATGGAGTTTCGACAGGTTCGTTGCACTCCTTGACAAGCACTCGCTCAGCAGGAATGGTGCTTGCCACACCTTGGCCTCACGAGTGAGGCTGACTTTGCAAAGCTCTGGAACGTAGCCGAAGCGAACTGGAGGGTTCTTGGAGCGCCAAGAATGGCACAGCATTGTCCTGAGCTTGGGGACGGATATGAGCTCGATCCTCTTGCACCCAAAGTGTGTAAACTCGAGCTCCTGGAGCCCAGAATATGGTGCGCCAATCTTTAGCGCAGAGCGCCGGTCAACCAGTCTGCAGGACCTCATGTTGAGATGCTTGAGCTTATCGCAAGCGGTAATGAGGTCGGTGATGTCTCCGAACGCAAAGCTCCTGAGGTGTAGCCTCGTGAGCCACCGGAAGGCGACCTGGTAGGCGCGGGAGAAGGACATGAATTGCTGCCCCAACTCGGCGAGCTGCTGAGCAGTGTTGTTGTCCACGAGCGGCGGGGATATCTGAAAGACGAGGCATCTGGTCTTGCCACGGCTGATGACGTCTTGGACTGCGCTGCCGATGGAGCTCAGATGAGGGGCCGATAGGTAGAAGCCGAGGACGAGCGCCTTGATGGCACGGCTGCGCGCTGGCATTCGCAGTTCCGGTCGGCCGGAGGACACACAGACATCAAAGCGCCCGTGAACGCGTCCATGTTCTCGACCGGCATGTCGTGGATGCCGAGCATCAGGACCGAGAGCTGGCGAGGGAGGTGGCGCCACCACGTGGAGACTGCGCCGGCGCGGACCGCCTCGAGCAGGTCGAGGCGTTCGAGGATTCGGAGGAGGAGTTCGTCGGGGAGCGTGCTGATCCTGTCCTCACCTCGGCCGACGCTGAGCTTGAGGGGCGGCGACTCCATGGCTTGGATTGGGAGGCCGATTGATGAATTGAAACCCTAGCTAGAACCAGTCGCCGAGATGCGGCCACGGATTGGGAGGCCTCCTGCACTCCGCTTCCCAATACACCTCTCGCAGTTGTGGCGTCACTTTTCACAAGATTTATGAAAAAGTTTCATAAAAAACACGGATACATATATTTCAACAAAAATAATAATACAAGTTTTACAGTGATTGGGCTTTTTTAGAACCGTTCGTTGATGTCGATCTAACGGCAGACAAATACGAAGTACTGGGTAGTACTCCGATGAAAGTACGCGAAAGTACTAAAACGAGTGGGGCCGGTACTCGTGACAAGGTGGGGACGCGTTTTAATCTAGGGGCAGTTTAGTCCTAGGAAAATTTGCACGCGCCGCCCCTCTCGTCGAATGCATAACCGCCGCCATGGTGCTACACATTCCACAATTACTCATCGGCGGCCATCTCCTCCCTCTCCTCCAAGTCCACCGCAGTCATCTCCTCCTT